TACAAAACAACCGATTGGTTGAAACAAGACTGATCCAAATGAACAGACCAGAATGCATTTGGCCCGTTCTTCTAGACCGAACATTTTGGAGTTGATGACAATGGGAAAGTCGTCGGGCGTGTATGCAACAACAACAACAATCTACTGTGCTCAGTTTCAACAAACCACCAATCTAGCTACCGTCACTTCCCAGCGAAAACAAAAATACACGAGGTTCAGAGAGGAGAAATTATAGCACTGATCAATCGGAGAACTCACTGATGATAGTATGTACATTATATACCGAAGCTGCTTTATGATTGATTCTATTCGTAATGAATGCATATGTTCAGAGCGGGAAGAAAGAGCACGGGAAATAGACTGAATAATACAGCATGTGCCTGCGTGTGTGTGTAAGAGAGAGAGGGTAGCAATGATACACCTGAACCCAAGTCAGAGAGGGACTCGGGGGAGGGGAACACGAAACATAATCGAAAACAAACGACTGAATTGTATATAAAATGCAAACAAAATTAGTATCCTGTGGATCGACTTGTCTCCAGGGTTGGCGACACTTTCGCAACTGTGTTCAACAACACGCTCTTACTACCAGAAGGCACATCATTGACAGAATTCGGATAGGGAAATCCGCGAAAGAATTGGGAGAATTTTCTCTCATACTCGGTGAACAATTGAAGCAACTCGGTCCACAGGGTTCGGACATTTGGCATTTGTTCGGCTGATGTTAACTCGTCAATTTGATCGGCGCTTTCCGGATTCTGACTCAATCGCTCACGTTTCGTGTGCCAATCTCGTCGGAGTTCCATGTAATACTCTCGTCTTTCCGGAAGACCCAGATGATGGTACACACGTTGCAAGCCTCGGTATTCGTATTCGAGACCACTGTAAGTTGGACCAAACACTCGACGACCTAACCAATGGGAAGAGAACATGGAACGGATAAGAAAAACCTAGTGTTGATCGGTCTTCTCCCCAGCAAGCTAATCGGGTACCATTAGTGCTTCGAGAATGAAAATAAGTTTACTTTTAGACCATGAGATCCCATGAGGAAATATGAACTGGGGAAGCGATAGTTGGAATCTCATTCGTACGATCCAGTGTGATTCATACATGAAATTCTCCAGACGGCTAGGACGCATCGCTGGGTGAAAAAGATGATTATTCCAGACAGGTGCGATGTAGGTCACACACACACACACACACACACACGCAAAACAGACAAAACAACCACCCTTTCCAGTTTGAAATCAGCAACCAAGACAAACTGTGGATTGTCCTTCATTTTAGACAAAGTGAATAGGTAGTATGAACATGCCCGTTTAGTGACCTGCAATAAGTGTGATTCAAACGAATGTGAGACGTGTCCCACTCAAGTGAAAACCGTTAACATGTGATCGTCTCCGTGTATTCGGTTATAAATGTATCGATCCGGCTGATGTGAACAAAAACGACAAGGCAAACATGTTCGCAAACAAGAATCCACACAGCTTAAATGATTGATTCAGTGTGTGTAGCAGGGTAGCTCGGTAAATGAAAAAAAACGCATCAGATCTGAAACTACTACTGACGGAATGACTAACTGGCTGTCATTGAGGACATGCGAACAGACTTATGTCAGCAATTTTGGTCAGCCTGAATGTGTGAGCGGATTAGCACAAACAGGCGCGTGCTCTGAGGCAGAGAGTGTGGATGGTTGTGCACTACGGCCTATGGGAGCGAAACTCAAGTTTGGTGCTTTCGGAAAACCGTTCGGGAAGACGAAGTGGCGAAGATGGTCAGTTAAATCATTACTATTTTTATTTAATATATTTCTCAGTTATGTGAGTCCGAGTATGTGCCAAACGAATCACGGTACAACAATCTGCATAAAAAGTGGGTCTGGTTGAATAAAGTCAATACCCATACCACACGAATATTCGCACATGAAAACCTTCTCGGTAAGTTAGAGGGAAATTTGTGGAACCTCACACACTGTGTGTATGGATGTATGGATGTTAGCAAAAGGAGGAACGGAAAAAATTTTCAAGCGCCATATGAGCACGAAAATTTTGCGGTTGACTACTCGGCCTCAGACTTGTGCAAGTAAATATCTTTAAATTTCTGAAGACGAATGTGATGCGAAATATAAGCACCCAGAGAAGACTTAGACAAAACCATTCCATGAAACATGGCCGAGGCTATCAACTGACGCCCTAACTGATGTGCCGAACATGCTTTTAAGTTGGGTGGAAAACCAAATGTGAAAAAATTAGAGCTTTCGTAGCTCAGCTGGCAAAGTGCATGCCATAGAGAAACTTAGGTAGCGTCCATGCGTTGACTGAAATCCCATCGAGGCTAGTGATCTTTGTACGAATGGATTAACTTAGAAACTAATGGGGGTCGTCTAAATAAGCTGATCATGAGGCTCTTCCCAATTCCTGTGTTTGCGAATAAGTTCTGCGAAAGCATGTCACCCTCTTAAAATTACTACATGTGCATACCATCAGTCGAGTGACTGTTTACGATGAACCAGCAGCGATGCTGACTTATCACGGGTACCATGGTTCGTTGTTGTTCAATTCCAACAAAGGTGAAATATCGGAGAATGTTTTGGGAGGTCTCTCCAAATGTGGGCTTTTCAGGGGAAACCTGAGAAACATTATATAATCATAAAAACGCTAACAACGGTATTTGTCCGTTTGAATGCACAGAACACTACACTGAAAGTTCTTAGCAATATACAATTTTAACTTTTGATGTGCAAGATGAGGTCACAGTTTCATGATTGGTGCTCGTGAGTTGAAGAACTGCGAATGCACAGTGATGCTCTAGGACTCAGTTTTGAGGCGGAGTGATTCCAGAATAGGCTGGGATGAACTGCTTCTCTTTTAAAAGCAGTTGTGCATCTAATGGTAGTGGGAGAGGCAAGAAGTTGGTTACATGCGCATGACAGGCTCGACTAGACGTTCTACCGATATTGGAAGATCACGGATACTGTGGTGTAGTACAGTCAGTTCTGTTGCTGCTTTTTAGCTCCTTTCAAATGATTGACTGGACGGATTACCAAAAAAGACAGGCCAACCCAAAACCGCAGCGCGGAAGTACAAATATTGCAGATTGTACAAAGCTTTCTTCCCAGTGCAATGGATAAATGTACCGGCTGGAAAAATGAAAATCATCTATACGCAAATCACTTGGGCTAAACAAAAATTGGTGAGCTAGTGAATCAGTACCCGTCTACTTACTGATTTCTATGGATTTCAAATGTAGCGCCTCCGCGTCTTGATATCGTTCCATATCATAATTGTACAGACTGGCCAAATGCCCCAGGCTCAGACCCACTTCGAAGTCCGATTCCCCGAGCAATTCTGTTTTGATAGCAATTGCTTTACGGTGATTGAGTTCTGCTCGCTGTACATCCGGACGGGAAGCGAACGAACAGTAGTGAAAAAGAAAATATATACATATGAATAAAAAAAGAATATAATTTAGCAGACGGGTACTCTGTCAAAATACGAACTAAAAATCACAGGCAGGACAAAAAGGAATGACTTCAATCAGGTAAGACCAAAGTTCCAAGTCAATTAATTTTTGCACTAGCCTAATCGCTAACCCTTCGATGGATAACTAGGGATGACATTATTCTTCAAACCACCGCTTGAGTGTGGCTCAGTTTACTGGTTATGGTAATGGGAACAAATTCACATTTCTCTCCTAAACAAAATGACAAGCAACAAAAATAGAACAGAATAAAAGAACGGAATAATTTTTTATAATCTCAATCGGACGAGATCATGCTATCGGAACAGATTATTTCGGGATTTGAAATTTGCTCAAGATGTTCCGGACAGAGGATGATCGGAATTCAAATGAAATCGATTGGAAACTGGATGAGAAGTACCGCGCTTACACAAGTCCCTATGAGGGAACCGTTGGTCCTCGTGATTATGGGATTACCTCTTTTTGTCGTTCATCAAGCAAAAATATGAATAATAAAAACGATTAGATCCGTGGTAGAGACTTGAAGTATGTTTATCATGATAAATACATAACCACTGGAGTCGGCGCGAGAGAACAGAGAGGGGAGAAATTGATAATAATTTCATCTCCCCCCCCACACACACACAGCACGAAAAATGGGAGTTCATAATTCTGCCCATCTCTGACAAAAGTTGAAATAGTGAACATTGAGGGACTGAGGTAGACTGATTGCCCCGGGGGAAAGGAAAGGAGCGACAGATACACACTGAGAACAAAACCCGGCCAACTAAATCCTATGCGGTCAACGGTATTCAATTCAATTGACCTCAAGACATGATCAATGGATGAATGTGAGGTCAACCATAATGAACTTCCAATCCGTGACCAGCCGGATAAGGTATTGCCAAAATTGATGACAAATTTGGACGGATAAACAGACAGACAGACGGACGGACAAGAGGATAGTACACAAGACATTCACTAGTTTACCACACAGAAATCGATTGGTTTTTATAGGACGAGTATTCTTCCATGCAGTAATGGGCTATCTAGCTCATTATCGGCGGTCACGGATTTTCGGAATTTAAACGATGAATAGAAATTATCAGGTTTTTAAGAATGATAGACGAATGGAAACAGGTCCTAGAAAACGAAAGTATCCGATGAAAAAAAGATAGACTAATGGCCCTGATACTGTTATCATTCCTAGCACAGCAAGTGGGAAAACGCGAGAACGATCAAATAGAACCACAACAAACGTCATATGATCTATTCGCTTAAGTTAAATGAACAAGAAATCGCGGCAAATCGAAGGCCGTCGGGAAATCATAAGCAAACGAGAAAACGTGACGGCAGTGCTGGTGCAGTTGCTAGAAGTACTAGTTTTGGCTATGGGATTTTAATTCTGAGTCCGTGTAGTGGAGTGAAAATAGAGCGAAGCATGTCGAATAGAAAAATGGTTGCATACGATAATAGTGGTGTGAAGTTACAAACAAATAATGACGCGCGCAGATTTGTAACAAGAAGCAATAGACAAACCTCATACAATTGCATTGACTGATACAACCGCCCCAGATTGCCGTAGTGTTTTGCTGTTTGAATATTGCGTTCTCCGTAAGTCTGGAAGATGATAATAAGGTGCGGGGGGAGGGATACAGCGATACGTGATGACCGGATCGGTTGTAATACATCAAAAGAGCAAAAATTAACCGCGGTGTGTGGGGGGAGGGGGGAATCGTAGGACCAGGGTAAAAATTATCTTTGGATGGACTTCGAAGAACACGTATACGGCGGTTAATACTACCTTAACAAAATCACGGATGTAGCACAAAGTGGTCTCTAGTTTCTATTTTGATCAGCTAATCTCTAATCTTATATCCACATGAAACTCTGTCCAGGTAGTGAACTCGATAGAGAACCGATTACATCCACCTCATTCTAAGCTTCACATCATATGCACGGACCAAGAAGTCGCTAAGTGTAATAATCCGAGTGATTATATATGGATGTTACAAGTTCATGGGTGCCTGACGATATCAATAAGTAGAGCTGTACAGTATGTCATCGATCAATAGCAAGGATGGTAATTGGAAATGTTCACTATCAGGACAGGTGTGCAGCGCATCTCCCACGTAGTTCACTTGATAATTTTCAGTGTCCATCGCAGTTCTTCAATAAATCACAGGATTTGAGTAAATACCCCATCAGATTAGGGTTAAAATGATGAAAGGGTTGTTTTTTGGTTTAAGTGTCGGTAATGAAAATACCAATTTTCAAGGGGTAATCACAAAAACAAGTACGTCGTGTCAGAGTGGACAAGAAACATTTTCTAGACCGGATGTCTGATACAAATCAGGTTCAAGGTCCGGTGATTATATATGACGGATTGAAAGACACAAGCACGAGCATTTTGGATAAGGTGAATTGTATTGTATTGTCAGCTATTCAACAAAAACGCAGGCTACCACAAAGGGAAAAAACAACCCCGCGTACGGATGTCGACTGATTTCGCTCTCTCATATATCATCGAATTTCAGCGGCGAAAAAAGAAACATTTGAAATAAATTCATGTGAGATATTGCAAGGCCTTCCACGATCAGGGTGGGCGTATCATTTAAAATAGATGAATCGAAAAAGTGAAAAACAATCCATAGGATCCTTGTCCACGACTATCTGGAACTGTGGGTATCAGAGAGAATACAACCGAATCTACCCTCGAGTGACCAGTTAACCAGCAGCATAGCTTGATCGACACCGGGATTCCGATGACTCGAATGAGCATCAACACAGACCTCTGTGGGCTAGGTATTGCTTGATGTAATCGACGAGTGGAGCACAAAGGAGTATCCTAACTTGAAACCGGTCAAATGTTACAACCGACTATTTACCTAGAGCGATTGACATGGAGCTCAACGGAGGAACTGCTTATTATCTGTGACAAATAGAATGATATACTTGATACAATGTGACTATCAAATTATAATCAGAAGCTATTATTTTCACACGTGAACCCACTGGAGACTCACTTTTTCACAATGCCTGAGCGATTGTATGTGCAATTCTTCAGCCTGTTTGAAACGTCTTGGATCGTTGGCATCAATGGCGATTTCCTCAATGATAAGAGCTAAATAGAGAAAAAAGGAAAATGGACGGAACAGGGAATGTGAATCATGTATAAAACCAAATTCGGCTACCTATTGATCGATTTTCATCTCGCTTTGCACACTGAAAACTGGTGGCAGATAACAGTACCGCCGAGCAGACAGGAAACGGCCTTTACGACCTTTACGAATACATGTGTTACGCTGACGCCACAGATGACCCAGGGTAATAGAAGCCACGTGAACGCTTTGAAAGAATGGCGACTTTCCGTATGAAATTGGACTATTGGGTGAGAGATAGCAAGATCAATGATGAAAGTCGTCTAACTTCACTATCACTTCCCTGGAGAGAAAACATGAGGGCAATATTGTCCCTATGTGAGTTTTCCAATCTAGGCCAACAACGGCGCCGATTTGATACTCGTTTATCCGTTAGCAGTCCACAGTTGGCTACGATCCTCGAGATTTTGATAATACATGCAGTGTTGGCACCTCGTCTGTTTCATATACATGAATGACTGGACAAAATCTCCCAAGATGCACACGACCGGTTTCGCGGTTCTTGCTGCTCGTCAGGCATGCGTATCCGAAAATCTTTTGTTAGTTCATTCAAATACTTGTACTCAGGAAGTGTATTTTCGTCACAATAACCCTGTTTGCAACACCGGGTAACCATCGGATAGACAGTTCTTTCAGAGCCAATCCAATGAAGAATCAATGCTATGATTCGATGTTTTGTAAGTGAGTTAGATGCTACTAACCGCAACAAACGTGACCTGATGGTATCGGTAGAATATTTGGTAATAAGTAGTATATATGTATATATATGAAATTTTCGCTCAGCATCTGTTGAGATCGATTTTGGCTGAGTGCATTGATTTTGAATATCCCGATATTCCGGGAAACAGTACAGCCAGGCCTCTTTATCTTTAGCAAAGAGTTGCCGGGTCTATTCTGGGATTCAGTCATTTTGTCGCTGCTGCTTAGTGTCAAGTACTTCCAGAAAAGCTGATTGGATGGATGATTTTAGTGATATCCATT